CTCGTCCCATGTTGTTCTGTCTTGTCCTATCTCGTCCCGTCTCGTCTCGTCTTGTCTCATCTCGTCTCATCTCGTCTCATCTGATCTCGTCTCGTCTCGTCTCGTCTCATCTTGTGCCGTCCCGTCCCGTCTCGTCCCGTCTCATCCCGTCCCGTCTCGTCTCATCTTGTCTCACGTAGTCTCACATTGTCTCACGTCGTCTCATATCGTCTCACGTCGTCTCGTGGTAGCGTGGCGTAGCGCGTGTGCGTATTCGAATAGTTTAGTGTATGCGTTTTGCGTGGCGTTGTCGAACCATAGTGAAGCCGGTACGCGACGTATATACATGTGATGCACACATTCTCCCACTTTGAACCGTAGCGATCCTTCAGCTTGCCTTCTGTAGAACCGGTATCGTATAGTTCGCAGTATAATACGTATATTATTTGCACATGCTATGTACATTGACTGCCCTTTCGATCGTTTCTAATGTTTTTAGTACGATTAGATGGAAAACAATATTTCGCGTAACATCATCATGGACCATTGTATGTCACGCAACGATGCAGACTTAACGTGGCTTACGATCGATTACGATCACAATAGACGCGACCTCGTCTTTACGTCTTTCTATCTTCATCTTTATTTGAAAGTTCACTAGGTCATCTTTGCAAATAGGAATCGATCAGTATTTAATATTTGATACGCATTTTATAAATTATTTGCGTCTCATCATCATTTCAATAATTAATTAAAAAAATTCTATTTAGCACAATAGAAACATTACTAGAATTCAATTATCGTTGTATGAATTTTGAATAATGATATCACATTGGACTTGATGTTATATGCTGCTGCTATAAACTTTGAAAAAAATGGAAATGAATTATTGGATTCACATTAAGATAAGAAAGTTAAAAACAGATTTATTAAGAAAAATATGATAAATGGGTATAAACAAATGAAATAAACGAAAAATATGATATCGTTTAAATATATATACATATATATATATATATATAT